ATCCGTACTGGCTTTTCATTGTTTCCGGAGGAGCCCCGAGGGTAGAGATTCAATCTCCTGGCTCCGCCAATTGGGGTTTGGCTAGGAGACGTCATAGGCACCTGCCCCCCCGGGGCCTCCGGCACAAGCTTATTAGTTACATATTTCAGTCGTAGTTTAGTGGTGATTAATTGAAGGTGGAGGGGTTACCAGCCCCTCGCACCCGTCCAGAGCCCCCGTTTAGCCACTGTGGTGGACAAAGATGCCATGAGGGGAGGAGCCAATCGGAATTGGCCCTCCCCCCACAGCACTGTCCACGACAGAGTTGCCCATCCGGCACCGCGAGGAGGTAGGGGGTTGTTTTGCCGGAGTATTCACCACACACTTCACCACACACACATTCACCACCACCCAGGGTTTCTCTGCAGCGCTGCAAACTCAGAGTCGCCAAGTCTGACGACTTTTTTTCGAGTTCTCCTAGAAACATAATATCTCCAATGTGGAAAACATGGCAATTTTGTATTTTCCACCATAAACAAAGAATCTTTGTATTAATAATAAACTATTATTGCGCGCACATATTTGGTAAACTGGATACATCGCATTCTGTCACGGTCACTTATTCCTCAAACCTCGTACACCCCTGCCATCTAAATAATTCGATTATGTCACCATATTTTTTCAACTATGTGGAGCGCCTTGAGTGGAGGCACTCTATAGATATACAATTAGATAGTTCGATTAAACGATCATGGAGTGCTTTACTCCGTGTAATATTTGATCAATTGTCTCATAGCATGATTCTAGGTCTATCTTGATTATTTTGTCCAGGTTTGGGAATGTTTAATGGTTTGATTGGCTGCAAAATATTTTTAGAGTAAACTAAAATATATATTTTTTAATTTCACCAGGTAAGGTCCACTGAGCTATGCAGCTCTTTTACAGAAGCGACCTGGCCACAAATGATGGCTCAACGAAGTGGCTTGTCACGTGGAAATTAACAACAGCCAAAATACTCTAAACGCATCTTTCTAAATGTGGAGGGGAAAACCGAGAGGAGCCGGGGAAAAATCCACACAACCACGGGGGAGAGAGACACGCAAACTCCAAGTATGCAGGCGTCAGGATCGCGATCGATCCCACGACCTCCTGTATACCAGGCGAGGTAGTTAACATCTCATAGCCACTGTGGCACCCACTCGACAATCTCTTGGAGCGGCTCCCTGGTTGAACTATTGGAGCAGCTTTTATAAATCACCACCCCCCTCCACCAATCCCGCTGCCTCTATGCACCCAGCAGCATCAATTGGTTCACCACAATTAGCCGAGTGTCCTCTGAGACGAGGCTCTCTGGAGCTCACTCGAACGGAGGCCCGTTCCGCCAGCGGGTCGCGCGAGCCAGCTATTGCAGGGGCTGCGCCTTCATTTTTTTCCCGTGAATTATTTATCACCGGGTGGAGGTGCCTTTTTGGTTCACCACAATTAGCCGAGTGTCCTCTGAGACGAGGCTCTCTGGAGCTCACTCGAACGGAGGCCCGTTCCGCCAGCGGGTCGCGCGAGCCAGCTATTGCAGGGGCTGCGCCTTCATTTTTTTCCCGTGAATTATTTATCACCGGGTGGAGGTGCCTTTTTGGTTCACCACAATTAGCCGAGTGTCCTCTGAGACGAGGCTCTCTGGAGCTCACTCGAACGGAGGCCCGTTCCGCCAGCGGGTCGCGCGAGCCAGCTATTGCAGGGGCTGCGCCTTCATTTTTTTCCCGTGAATTATTTATCACCGGGTGGAGGTGCCTTTTTTTGTTTATTTCGTTTTTCGTCTTTGGCCCCCAGTAAATGTGTCCCCGTGAATGCGGCGGCGTCGGAGCGAGGCGCGCGGCCGTTGATTTTTTTGCTGAACGGCTGCCAAGACTCTCTCCCTCCGTCTCACTCTCTGCAGGCTGACCACGTGGTGTCGCCCGTTAATACACCGAAAGGCAACGAAATATCAACGAAATGCCCCCCCCCCTCGGAAAGGGCAAACACTGCGACTCGTTGTGTGGCCACCGCAGCCTTCAATAATAGCTATTTTATACTTGAGGCACTGTTTATACTTACGTTTATACTTGCGGCGCTGTTTATATCAAATGCTGCGAGTGAAGTGGGGGTGTTACCAGCCTACATCGACCTCCCCCCAATCGACGATGTTGACTTTAGAGAGAACTATTCTTCTCGCGGAAAGAAATACACAACTTGTGAAGTGTACATAAAGCTTCCATTTCCAGCGAAATTAAAAAAAACACACATTTTACTCTTTCTTGTTAAAACAACTACTACGCTGTAGATAATCGTAAATTACATTACATAGATCCTACAGGATATTTTTGCAAACTTAGATTTTGTCGGAATTTACTTTCATTTATTATTTAACATTACAATTGCAGTATATTTATAACTCGGACAAATTCAAAGAGTTTTTGGTCTGAATTGTTGACAGAGAGTAATGAAAATAATATTCTGTCAGCCTTTTGTCATTCCCATTGCTGGATGAAGGCCTCCCCATGCTGGGATCAATGGGATTGTTTTAACCATGCTTCACCGCCCTGATCGGTGTGGGTTGCGGTTGGTGAGGGCAGGGGTCGGTGGCTAGGAGATGTTAACTACCTCGCCTGGTATACAGGAGGTTGTGGGTTTGATCGTGACCCTGACGCCTGCTGTATATTTCAAGTTTTGCGCGTCTCTCTCCCCGTAGTCGCGTGGATTTTTCTCCGGGTCCTCCGGGTTTTCCCTCCACATTTAGAATCAACATCAGGCCGTTAACAGTATTTAGCTGCTATAAATTTCCACCCACTTCGATGGGCTATCATTTGTGGCCAGGTCGTTTCTGAAAAAGAGCTATATAGCTCAGTCGGCCTTACCTGGTAAAATAAAACATAGTTTAAATAGAAAAAATAGTTTAGACAGCACCATGGCTAGGAATTCAAACTCAAGTCGCTGGGTTTGATAACCACTGCACCACCACTCTACCCCCACATGAATAGAATTCATGAACGGACCGGGTAGAGCGAGTCGCTCGCAACTAGAAGGCTGTGAGTTCAAATCCGGGTTGTGGGGTTGACTTAACCCATCATCTCTCCAGGATGGATAAAACGAGTACCACTTTGTGAGGAAGTTAACAGTGGTTGCCCTGTGGGTATATTATTCGCCCCGCCGCCCATCATAGGAATGTAGAATTTTCACCACTGGCCCAGGGCTGTAAACAGAATTCCCAGCTCATTTGGAGTGACGAGGACATGAGGTCACCTTGCACTGGCACCAAATGAAGCTCCTTAAAGTGCGCTAATCACTGCACCACCACTCCCCCACAGCAAGTGCATTGTTACGGCACTATTATTTAAATATTAAACACATTCATTGGGCGTGCTGCGTTGGCAGTGGTGCACGATCACAATTAACAACGCAACACATTAATCAACTTTTGTTTACATTTATTTTGCCAGGTAAGGCTCCACTGAGCTGCTATGTGGCTCTTTTTCAGAAGCGACCTGGCCAGCACAAATGATAGCTCAACGAAGTGTCTTCATGTGGAATGTACAGCAGCCAAAAACTCTTAAAGAATAGCAACATCAATGTGCTATGAAGAAGGGCCATAGCCCAAAGCGTCACCTATTATATATACTCTATTTACTTTAAGGTCACATTGATATTGATGAATGCGTTGGGTTTTTGTTTGAAATTACTATTACGATAAATAGGGAAATACGTTGGTGGGTCTGCGCATACTTTAAATACCTCTTTTTTTCCCCGAAATTTTTTATACTGGAAATGTTTCCTTTACAGTGGAGTGTTTTCCACGCACGGTCTTGCAGCTTTTGTATGAAAATGAGTAATGGTGAAAAAACGCCGATGGTATGCGCGTGCGCGGGACTCGCGCCTATTCCTCGGGGGAAGCCGTGGAACGCTTTTGTTAAGCAGTTACGGTGCAATCACATTGCCAGGATTCACAGTTAGCAACCGCTTGGACAGGAGCGCAGCACAATCGCGGGGGACGATCCTCCTCCTAAATTCCAAACGAATCCCACCGAATGTTAAAAGCGTGGCGTAAAACAAAAAAATCTGTGCGAATTCCTGCACAATCAGACTGGAATTTTAACAAAACTGCAGCCTATAACATTTTATAGTTGGGGGCCTATTTATTTATTTATTTGGTTTAGTGCCCCCCCCCCCCAAAAATAATAATGGGTCTCAGGTGTAAATACCGATTGACTGGGAGAAATCTGGTCAAAAAGCACCGCGATTCGAGTGGGGTTGATTCATGATCAACAGCGTAGGTGTTTCAAGTCCCATTCTCGGGTCGACCCAGTACGATATCCATCCAGAGTCGATCGAGTGACTACCGACTGGGACTCCCTCATCATCAGCAGCAGCTAAGATCAATCCACTGCTGGATGAAGGCTTCTCCAAGCCATTGCTGTCTCACAGGATCTCGCGATGGAACAAATCTATCCCAGCTGCTACGCCTGAGCTGAGGGCATTCGTGTTAAACAACCGAATGCGTGCCCTGGCTCAGAGCGAGCGCTGGGCTGGTGACGCGCGAATCTCCATTGGCGCGATCAGAGGCAGGAGCGGTGGTAATTCCACGTTCCTATGGCAGCGGGCAGGTGCTCCACAGGGGGGGGGGGGGGGTGCAGTTGTTGTTGGTGTCGCACAAAGTGGGGCACTCGTGTGTGTGTGTGTTGACGTTGGCGGTGTGGATATGTAGGCTGATGGGCTGGGTTGATTCTTGATCGTTACGTGAACTCCAGACCTTTCATTTACATTCAAAGTAAATGGCATTATGATGATTATAATTAATACCGTCACCATGTATTATTTTGTGCACAATAACACACAGCAGTCTCTCTGTGTGTGTGAAGTTTATTTTATGTTATCCAATAGTGAGTTAAGCCCTCTAATCACAGCTCAAACCACATCGCCAGCCAGATGATACAGAGACAAAGGGAGACTTTAAATAAACTTTTTTTTTTAATCCTCCGCTTCATCCACAGAGGGAGAACACGTGGAGGAAAAAGTGGTGTTTGGGGTAGAGAGCAACGCCACGTTCCTGGAGTGCCGGCCAAAATCCCGGCAAGCGTCCACCACGTGGCTCGTCCAGCACCCGCGTGAAGAGGTGTGGGAAGAGGTGAGGTCATCGACAAAGCACGAACCACAACAGCAAGGACCCAGCACGCTCATCAATAACCCTGGGGCTTCAAAAGGAATAATTTATTTTAATAATATATTATTCCTTTTAAAGAATATGGGGGTGCCACGGTGGGTTAGATGTTAACTACCTCGCCTGGCATGCAGGAGGTCGTGGGTTGGATCCTGACTCTGACGCCTGTTGTATATTTAGAGTTTGCATGCTCTCTCTCCCCATGGATTTTCTCCAGGTCCTTCAGTTTTCCCCTCCACGTTTACAATTGACGTGCGTTTACAATATTTGGCTGCTACACATTTCCACACAATGATAAGCTACTTCGTTGCGCTATCATTTGTGCCCAGGTCGCTTCTGAAAAAGAGCTATATAGCTGAGTGGGCCTTACCTGGTGACATAAACATTGTTTAGTTGGACGTGACATAATTGCAATCCAATGTTCACGTAACCATCTTTAACTTTTCTGTAGCCGCTTGTAATCCATGTGTGGATTTCCGAGTTGGGCTGCGTAGTCTTGAGAATCTCCGGCTTTCGCCACGCGCTACCGACTGGGCCTGTGCACCTTCCACGAGTTGAGCTCTTGAGAGAAGAAGTGCTGAACCTGTAACCCGACCTGACAATTCACACACTTGGACTATCTCTAACAATGGTTAAATGCGCACGCAGCAATAACTCTAATAGTAATAAAAGTGGCAAGATCAGCGTCTTGCTTGAAAAGTGTCTTCCAAACGCTACGTTCCAAGAAAACCGCACTCCCGAGGGACCTGTGCCCCTGGGGAACACGTAATGCTTACAGCACAGTTTGGCAGATGTTCCTTACGAACACATCCTGCATGGCCAGAAATAATAATAATGATTAGAATGTTCTTTATATTATTGGTTCTTTCGGTAAAGTCACGTAGAAGGGAAACAATAAAATAATGAAAATATAAAACAATAAAATTATCACGACGTTTCGACTGCAACACAAGCAATCATCATCAGGTGTGAAAACCACAGCAAGAAAATTTGAAAAAAGTGGCGTTTTTTAACGTTCGCTCTCTCCGTGGTGCTAACGTTTAAAAAAAACGCCACTTTTTTCAAATTTTCTTGCTGTGGTTTTCACACCTAATGATGATTGCTTGTGTTGCATTCGAAACGTCGTGAGAATTTTATTGTTTTTTAATATTTTTATTTTATTGTTTCCCTTCTACGTGACTTTACCGAAAGAACCAAGAATATGAATCCCTGCAGTCACGAAAGCTTTAAATAAAAATATAATTTTGACCGTTTGAGTTATGGTCGAAACGTCGTGAGAATTTTTTTATTGTTTTATATATATTTTATTATTTTGTTGTTTCCCTTCAACGTGACTTTACCGAAAAAACTAAGAATATAAAAATAGAATGTTCTTTGTTTTAAAGGTGCAGCCCTGCAATGATTGTTCACGCCACTGCTGGCAGAATAGACCGAAACTAGAGGGACCTCTTGACAGCTCCTATAGAGGGTAATTTTGGCCTACTCTTCCTTACTGGCCCCGGGACCTACCGACTAACTGTGAGGCATTCGCTTGTGCTGCTGGGTGGGGGGCATTTAAGAAACTTCAAAATGATTGCCGCGCTGGAAGATCGAACCGGTGACCTCTGGATTTCAGTTCCAGTGTGCTAACCGTTGCGCCAGCATCCTGTTATAGTATTCGAGGCTGTACAAATTCGCTGTATGAACTCAGAGAGTTCGTACACACAGTATACTGTGTATATATACACGCAGGCAACATAAATAATCAAACCAAAGAACAACAAAGGGTGAGTTGGGCAGATCGAGCAGCGGCGGGACACACACTTGCGCAGTTTAAAGTTTCAAAGTGTTTCAGCATCTCGGTCCGTCCGTCTGTATCAAAGGGGCACAATAACGCCCGTAAAGAAGATCCGACACGACGGGAAACATCATCTCAGCTATGAGGGACTAAGCCTACGGAACCTCTGGCGACGTGGATCAGACGGTTGACCAGCCGTGCCTCACTCAGTGGAGCCGCTACCCAGGATCCCCGTTATCTCGTGGCGGCCTAAGGGGCCGTCCATAAATGACGTCATACACCTAGGGGGGTGGGGGTCAGACGTTTGTGACGATGTGTGACGAGGGGGGAGGGGGTTTGAGAAATGTGACGTCAGATCAAAATGCGCAACTTTAAATAAATATAGACAACCCGTTATATTTCATTAAATTCACTCTTTAATCAATGTTTTCTCCCACAACATCAGAGTGCAGCGCCACATTAAATACGCACTGCAATGACAATAGTTTAAAGCGATTTGAAGCAGGTTTTATTTTTTTTGGGGGGGGGGGGCAGAGCTTTGTGACGTCATATTTGAGGGGGGGGGGGGTCTGACTTTTTGTGACACCGTGTGACGATGGGGGGTGGGGTAAAAAATTGTCCAAAATCGCGTGACATCATTTATGCAGTTTACCATCGCTAACCAAACACTTCGGCGGACAAACGCATGTTGGCAAGCGTAAAATTATATGCGTGGGAGTATCATTAACAAAATAAACCAGCAGACAATACTCCTTTCTTCTCATATCTGTCATGCCAAGTAGAAAATGTAAGTAAATGCTGGACCAGTTTCGACATTTCACTGTCTCATCAGCAGGTCGCATGGCCGATGTGATCTATATTAAAATATATTTATATTTCATATGGGGGGGGTGGGGGGGGGCGGAACAGGTAATGAAAGGAGGCTTATTTGAGGCTTAATGCAGACGCGGTTCCTTGCAAAAAGGTTTCAGTTTGTCGTTTTAACATCTTAGCACCTGTTTCATTGCCAGAAAGGGGTACAACCTATTCTCATAGGAGGCTTATTTGTCCGCGGAATGATTATCGTCGCGTGTATCGTCCACGACGGGGCCGTTCACGGTCACCCAGCGATCGGCCTCCCTCCTCCCTCTCCTCTCGTCGTCACGGCGCCGCCGTGCAGGTCAAGGCCGACGACCGAGTCGCCAGGACGGAGCACGGCCTGCTCATCCGCCGCCTGCAGCGCCGTGACGCCGGCAAGTACTACTGCCGCGCTCGCGAGAAGTCCTTCTCGCAGACGGTGACGCGCGTCGCCCTGCGCGTCCTCCCCGGCGACCTCGCCGAGTCCCCCGACGAGCTCGGCGGTCGGGTCAAAGGTCAGCGCGACGGACCGCCGCCGCGCAAGCCGCCGTTGCGCGCGCGGTACAAGGACGTGATGAGGCTCCTGGGGGCGCCGTCCCCGCTGGGCCCCGACGGCTACTGCGAACAGCTGTGGCGCAAGCGGTCGGCCAAGGGGAGGCCCCTCGGGGTGGCGGTGGGCGGCGGAGGCGGAGGAGGAGGAGGAGGAGGAGAGCCGACCGGGTTGACCGGCGCCGCCTTCGATGGAGACATCGCCGGCAAGACGAAGCAGAGAGAGATAAAGAGCAGGAATCGCCGTGACAGGCACAGGTCTGCCGCGGTAAGCGGGGCTAGCGGACAGCGTTAGGTGTGGCGGCGACGGCGGCGGTGGTGGTGGTGGAGACCTGGGTCGGTTAGCACTCCAGAATAAATTATTTGAAGAGAAAATACGTCACTGATGAATGCGGCTGAATTCCTTTGATGCTGAAAATAAAGGGGTTGGGGGGGGGGGGACGTAATATTAAATTTGCAGATGTTCTTGCGGGGGATTAGAGGCTTTTACTGACTCTATTGTATAACATATAATGTGATGGTATTAGTAATTAGTCTGTTTTTATGTAGTAGTGTTTTCTCCCTCGTAGACCTCTATACAGCATGCTTTTGTGAATTTAAATGGAGAATAAATAACATAAGAGAGCAATTAAAGTGACCACTTTTGGGCAATATATTTGAAAAGGAATGTGTTTTTTTTTTTATTAAACCCAGCTTTCACGTGTCAGCTCTCAATATTTCGATTTAAAGCTTTCGTGACTGCAAGGATTCATCTTCTTTGGTTCTTTCGGTAAAGTCACGTAGAATGAGAATAAAATAATAAAATAAGACGATAACATTCTCACGACGTTTCGGCCACAACACAAGTAGCCCTCTTCAGGTGAAAGAACAGAACTGTCGGGACGACAGAGCTTGAATGAACGCTGTTAAGATTCGTAGCGTCTTTTAAGCTCAGTGAGAGGCGTGGAGAGCCTTGACAAAGGAGTTTACCTATCAAAGCAGGAGAATTTAGCATTGAAATAGCTGAGGGATTAGCTTGTGACAGAAATAGCGGTGTTAAAGTCAAAGTTTACATATCCACAGAGGCATTTAGTATATGGACGCTAAAGGCCTCCAACTGCCAACTACCATAAAGTAAACCGATGTGAAAAAAACTAAATCTATATTCCATCAATATAATAAATGTACTTAATATATTCTTCAATAAGCTGAGCTATTAATCAAGGCAACTGGGTATACACCACACTATATAATGAATACCATATAGTAAACCAATAAAAAACCAAACTATAAGCTCCCTCAATGTTATCAATAAACTGTATATACTCTCCAATCATCTGAGCCACCAACAAGAAGCCGTTATATATCAATGCCATATGACGAAAAATGGTGTTTTTTTCCCTTCTCCTGAACGCCAGCACCACGGACAGCGACGTTCAGGTGGACGAGTCAATCCATGATCGGAACGGGGGAGGGGGGAGAGGGGAACAACTACAATGCGCTGTTATACTCCATGTTATAAACCATAACATTAACCGTGGTGTGAGAGGTATTCAGAGACAATGCCAGCGAAAGAGATGCGGTCTGACAGTCACCGTAAAATACAATTAATTAAGAACTGAAATGGTTTAAAACATCTATCCAATGGTTACTAAGCCAGAATCCATCTTCTCGGTTGAAACTGTGCTTGTATATGTGGATGGCCTCATGAACGAATCTATCATGGTAGCCAGTTGGCTTGCAAAGATCCTCCGTCTTGGAGAAGTCAATGTCATGTGAACGCACTGAATTATAACAGTGATCTGCCACGGCAGAAGAATTCGTCCAGTCATGAAGAAGGGTCCTCTTGAGGAACCACTCAAAACCATCACCTTACCCTACATTGCAGGGGTCAATAAAAAGATCTCCAAAATCCTGAATAAACACAAGATCCAGGTCCGATTCAACACAGTACATAAAATCCGTGATCTGGTTCCATCTGTAAAAGATGCTGTTCCAGACATACAGTACCCGGGCGTTTACAAACTAAAGTGCCTCTGTGGTAGCAACTACATTGGGGAAACCAAACGACATATCTCGGATCGCATTCGCGAACATAAAGCAGACTTGAAACACGGTAGGACAAATTCTTCTGCCGTGGGAGATCACTGTTATAATTCAGTGGATTCACATGACATTGACTTCTCCAAGACGGAGGTTCTTTGCAAGCCAACTGGCTACCATGAGAGATTCGTTCATGAGGCCATCCACATATACAAGCGCAGAGACAGTTTCAACCGACAAGATGGATTCTGGCTTAGTAACCATTGGAAAGATGTTTTAAACCATAATTGTATTTTACGGTGACCGTCAGACCGCATCTCTTTCGCTGGCATTGTCTCTGAATACCTCTCACACCACGGTTAATGTTATGGTTTATAACATGGAGTATAACAGTGCATTGTAGTTGTTCCCTATTTCCCCCCTCCCCCGTTCCGATCATGGATTGACTCGTCCACCTGAACGTCGCTGTCCGTGGTGCTGGCGTTCAGGGGAAGGGAAAAAAACACCATTTTTCGTCATATGGCATTGATATATAACGGCTTCTTGTTGGTGGCTCAGATGATTGGAGAGTATATAGAATTTATTGATTTATTAGTTTTTTTTAATGGTTTTCTATATGGTATTTATTATATAGTGTAGTGAATACCCAGTTGCTTTGATTAATAGCTCAGCTTATTTAAGAATATATTAAGTACATTTATTATATTGATGGAATATAGATTTAGTTTTTTCACATCGGTTTACTTTATGGTAGTTGGCAGTTGGAGGCCATTAGCGTCCATATACTAAATGCCTCTGTGGATATGTAAACTTTGACTTTAACACAGCTATTTCTGTCACAAGCTAATCCCTCAGCTATTTCAATGCTAAATTCTCCTGCTTTGATAGGTAAACTCCTATGTCAAGGCTTTCCACGCCTCTCACCGAGCTTAAAGACGCTACGAATCTTAACAGCGTTCATTCAAGCTCTGTCGTCCCGACAGTTCTGTTCTTTCACCTGAAGAGGGCTACTTGTGTTGTGGCCGAAACGTCGTGAGAATTTTATTGTCTTATTTTATTATTTTATTCTCATTCTACGTGACTTTACCGAAAGAACCAAAGAAGAAGCTCTCAATATGTGCTTTCGAAACTAAATGTAAGCAACAGGATGCTTGTTACCAAAGCTGATAGATAATTCAGACAAGGTCGGAAATGGCCCTTCACAATTTATAACGCTCGCGAATCGCACATTTTTTTTTTGTGTCCAAACAAAAAAATATTTCTAAGCATGACAACATATTTTTTTACGTGCGTTATATGCATAGAAGTTAAAGTGTAATTCCGTGATATATGTACTCTATACGCTATCCTTTTAAAGGAGACTCACAAAAGTGAGCAACAGTGATACACTCCTAATGATTCATTATTCGTTTTAAGTTAATAACCGAATAATAGTAATGTTAAAAAATGCCAAATGCGCACAAGCATTTTTGCGTAAGAATCAGATTTGGCCAAAGACATTTCATGTGCCTCAACCTTGCGTTAATTTTCTATCAACTGGAATATGAAGGTAGTACGATAAGTGAGCAGTTATGTTTGTTTGTAATCTACTTTGCTTATAATTGGACGCCTTTGCAAAAGGTGACTGGTAAAACGTCGACTTCTGATGATACAGATGTCATGCTTGCTGTCCATGTGCCTGTACTACAGCTTAGTGTGTTACACTGCACGCACGCTATAGGCTAATACATTTATAGAAAAAATCGTATTATATGTTCTAGATTTGAAGCTTTCGTGACTGCAAGGATCCATACTCTTTGGTTCTATTCGGTAAAGTCACGTAGGTAAAAAATAAAACAACAAAAATCGACGACGTTTCGGCCACAACACAAGTGGCCTTCATCAGGTGAAGGGACCGTACTCTCCAGAGGACAGCGTTGGAGTGAAGACAGCCAAGCCCAGGTCGCGACCGAATAGAACCAAAGAGTATCGTATTATATGTATACACAGCCTCACGAGTTCGACATTTACCTTCCATTAACTCATTTTCATTGCATTGTAACGTATTGGTAGCATTCAAAAAGTTATCGCTTCACCTTTAACTTGTCAGAAAACGATGCGTACGGTTGTGCTGTAATAAATCTGCACTCCTGAGTAGATATTCTTAAGAGCTCCTACAATCCACGACCCTATTACCCGTGACTCCCGATTATCCGCCGAAGCTATGAAGTCCGAGAAACCTAAATATCGGCAATCCCATTCTTCCTGTTATCCGCAATTTGTAAGAAAAAATCCCCCCCCACGGATAACGGGAGAAAAAATCGTGGGTAATGATGTGGATAATCGGATATATTGGTTCCCTACATCACCATGGGATAGATGAGCATTGTAATATTGGGTTCACAGGAATACATTCATCATAAATAATGACACATGTAGGATGGACAACAGTAGGGACATTTAAAGTGTTGTTGTTCAGAAAAAATGTAAGGAACCGGAAAGAGAGGAAGACCTCCCACAGAGAATGGCTTCACGATGACGACATGATCGATTGGTGCCAGAAGGACGTGGCCACTACTGGAACATATTGGCACAAGGCAGAGAAGAAAGTGGAAACTAATGAGAAAACGTGCAGTGGACACCCACGGGCTATCTTTGCATGCTTTTGTGATGATGAATAATCACTCTCCAAGCTAAAATCCTGTTTGGCCTGCCCGATCGGATGAGATCGGGCACTTAGAGGCGATTTGGTGACGGGATAAGTCGGTGAGGTAAGCTGTGCCAATCGCATCACCTTGAGCAGTGCAGTAAGCGGCGTCGTAAGCGGCGTGGCATCGGGCACTGGTGGAGGGAGGGACGCGGGCGGAAGAGTGAAAACAGTTTTTATTGTGAACTGCTACATTTTTTTGTATTAAGTAGCTGCTTTAATAAGTTATGCAGCCAGGGGAAGAGTAACGGTTGGGGGGGGGGGGAGTGATGCGTTGGACGGAGACGGAAGGGCAAAGGCTTGGGGTGAAACTCGGGAGCTATTGATAGCTAACTACTCAACAACGGCGGAAGAGGAGACAGTGGAAGGAGGCCTTGGGTCGAGTGTTAACGACGGCAGCGTGAGTTTTGGCGACAGCCGCCCCTTACAGAGCCAGCACGAGAAAGAGCCGTGGGCTCGCGCTTAGCTCCCACGGCAGCCTCGAGCTCGCGGTGGAAATTCCACGTTCCCATGGCTGGGGCAAATTTTCTCCACGGGGGCGACTGCTGTTGACCCACCACAAAGTTGCGCAAGGGTGGGGGAGGTGGTGAGGAGGGTGTTGGTCAAAAGCAAATCCCAGAGAGAAACTAATGAGTCACGTTCAGCCAACGTCTGAGGATTAAAATCCTCAAGCCAATTGTAAGTGCTTAAGCGATTTAGTCCTCCCTCGTGAGCGGCCTCGCGTTACGCGCGCGACGGGCGACGCGATAAGTTGCGTGAACTCGCAAAGGTTCACTCGGGAGGCCCTGAGGTGCATTACCGTAGCGGCTCACACACAACCCGTTGAGAGTCGGTGTACAGGGGTTGTCGGGCGGTGAAGGGGTGTCTTGTAAGCGGTGTTATGGGTCATTTGCGGTGCAGATAAGGCGCCGCGTGATTAAACTGCAAAAGCCATGGCAATA